GGGCCCCCCCCCCCCACCCTGGCCTGATCCCAAAATCTGCAGCACCGTGTCCCCAGGGCCACCAGGACCCCGTCCCTAAAGCCACCAGACTGTCCCCAGGACCCCCAGGACCCCAGGGCCACCAACCTGTCCCCAGGACCCTGTCCCCAAAGCCACCAACCTGTCCCCAAGACCCCCAGGGCCACCAGGACCCCGTCCCCAGGGCCACCATCCTGTCCCCAAGACCCTGTCCCCAAAGCCACCAGCCTGTCCCCAGGACCCCCTCCCTGGGACCCGCCCTGTTCAGGGTAGGGGACACAGATGGGGACACGGCCAGCACCTGCCCCTGGCATCGGGGACACGAGGGACAGAAGGGGACAGAGGGGACATCCCTGAGCCCTCCCCGCTCGCCGGTGTCACCGCTGCTGTCCCTGCCCCGACACCCGAGTGACAGGACAGTGACAGCAGAGCCACTTCAGGGACGATGGCTCCAGCACCGTCCCCGTCACTGTCACCGCGTCCCCACCCCGCCCGTCCCCTCGGTGTCCCCGCGGCAGCAGCGGAGCGGGTCCCCAGTGTCACCCCCCGCCACAGCCAGGCCCACGCGCCATCCCTTGGGGACCTCGGCGACACTCTGGGGACATTTCTCTGTGAGGTGACAGAGGAAAAGCTCCTTCAGCTGCTCCCCAGGGTCCCCAAAGTGTCCCCAGAGACACCCGAGGGGTCCCCAAAGTGTCCACAGGGACACCCGAGGGGTCCCCAAAGTGTCCCCAGGGACACCCGAGGGGTCCCCAGCTGTCCCCAGAGACACCCGAGGGGTCCCCAGCTGTCCCCAGGGACACCCGAGGGGTCCCCAAAGTGTCCCCAGAGACACCCGCGTGGCCACACCTGGGGAGGTGACAATACCTGCACGCGGCCACCACAAACGGCTCACATCATGTCCCCACACCTGCCGTGGACACCGCGGCGTGTCCCTTGTCCCCTCCCCGTGCTGGTGGCTTTGCTCTCAGGGTGCCACCCCCGCGGGGACACCTCTGTCCCCTCACTGTCCCCCCCCTCCCCAGCCTACAACGGGACAGCGACGTCCGCTGCTTCTTCCAGCCCCAAAAATTCCCCTCCGCGCCCCCCAAATGGCCTCGGTGACGCTCGGGGGGTGGCTCTGGCTGTCCCCGCTGTCCCCCGCCGTGTCCCCCCCCGCGCTGCCAGCCCCGCCCGGCGCGTTAATTAATTATTAAAGGCAATCAAGCATTTCCAAGCAGCCGCGGCCCCGGCGCTTCCAGGAAAGCGGCGGCCCCGGGCACGGCCCTAAAGCGGCTCCCGGGGGGCGTGGGGACCCCACCCCACGGCGGGGACACCGCGTGGGTCACCCCGGACCTTCAGCGGGACCCCAGAGCTCGGTGCCAACCCCTTGGGGACATCGCGGTGGCCGTGGGGACACGCGGGAGGGGGAGGTTTAGAGGGTCCCGGATGCCACCCACGGGTGGGGACCCCGGGTGCGCCACCCAGGGACCCCAGGACTGCGGTGCCAACCCCTTGGGGACATCGCGGTGGCGGTGGGGACACGCGGGAGGGGGCGGTTTAGAGGGTCCCGATGCCACCCCGCAGCCCAGGACGCCGGTGCCAACCCCTTGGGGACATCGCGGTGGCCTTGGGGACACCGGTGGTTGTGTCCCCACGCGTGGCACTGCCAGCACGGTGGCACACGCCCACCAGGGTGACACGGGGAGGGCAGGAGGGGACACCCCAAACCGCCCAGGACCCCACTGGGTGACAAGTCCCTGTCACCGCTGCCAGCCCCGGGTGTGTCCCTGTGTCCCCTGCAGGGGTCCCGGGGAGTTTTTGGGGACACGGGGACAAGGCCAGCACCTCCCCGAGACTCCCAACTCCCCCCTCCCCACAGCGTGGCACTGCTGTCCCTCAGCTCCACATTGTCACCCCCCTGCGGGGGTGGCTGTCACCGCGGTGGTGGCAGCGCTGGGGTCCCCTGGTGGGGCGGGGGAAGCGTTCCCTGAGATTTTCCAGCATCCCAAAGTTTTGGGGGGATCCCAGGGAGCCACCATGGCCTCGGTGACCCCATAGGGACACCCCAAACCCCGCAGAGGGGACAGCACGACAGGGGACAGGGGTGGCACTGACCCCAGGAGGGAGGGACGGACAGGGGACACTGAGGCCCCCGGAGAGGGCAGGGAATGGGATTTGAGTCCCAGAGAAAAGCAGGGAATGGGATTTGAGTCCCAGAGAAAATGGGATCCGGAGAGCTCTGAGCCCTCTGGGAATGCATGGAATGGGATCTGAGCCCTCCAGGAGGGCAAGGAATGGGATTTGAGCCCCCTGGAAAAGGCAGCAAATGGGATTCGAGTCCCAAAGAAAAGCAGGGAATGGGATCCGGAGAGCTCTGAGCCCTCTGGGAATGCAGGGAATGGGATCTGAGCCCCCTGGAGAAAGCCGGGAATGGGATCTGAGCCCCCTGGAAAAGGCAGGGAAATGGGCGCAGATCCCATTCCCGTTGGCACAAACTCCTGGCAGCTGAAATCCATGGGGATGCCCGGGGCACCGGGATAGGGATATCCAGAGGCCCAAGGAATGCCAGGAAAAAAGCGGGGAGGGCACATCCTGGGATGCTCACGGAACCAGGAATGCCCACAGGACCTGGGATGTCCGTGGATCCCGGGACGCTCCCAAATCCCAGGATGCCCACAGCCCCTGGAATGCCCGCAGTGCCCAGGAGGGCTGCGGAATTTGGGATATCTGTGGAGCCTGGGGGGTGCCTGCGGAATTTGGGATATCTCTGGATGCCCATGGAATTTGGGATGCCCACAGAACCCGGCACATCCACATCCCCGGGATACCCACAGTCCCTGGAATGCCCAGGGAAGCTGGGATGCCCGAGAAGCCCAGCATGTCCAGAGCCCTGGAATACCCCAGGATACCCAGGAAAACCGGGAATGCCCGCAGCCTCTGGAATACCCCCAACCCCTGGAATACCCACTGCCCTCAGAATTCCCGTGAAACCCGGGATGACCACATCCTCCGGGACACCTCCAGCCCCCGGAATTCCCGTGCAGCCCGGGATACCCGCCGACCTCGGGATGCCCCACGGAGCCCGGGATGCCCCGCGGAGCTCGGGTTGCATCCATCCCGGAGCCCCCGGAGCTCCGGGGCTCTCCCCGGGCTGTCCCCGGGCTGTCCCCAGGCTGTCCCCAGGCTGTCCCCAGGCTGTCCCCAGGCTGTCCCCGAGCTGTCCCCTTACCTCTGCGCCGCCGTGCTGGCGTCCAGGATGCCGGTGCCCTGCAGCCAGCGGCCGGCGGGGAGCCCCGCGCTCAGCGGCTCCTCCTTCATGGGGACCCCCCCCCGGGGCAGCGCCTCCTGCACCGAGAACATGACCGGGGGGCTCAGGGGGACCCCCCCGGAACCCCCCCGACCCCCCCCAGCCCCGGGCTCAGCACCGGGCAGGTGCCGGGGGCCGCCGTCCCGGCCGCCGGGGAAGCGGCATCTGCGAAGGGAGGGAGGGAGAGAGGGAGGGGGAGAAGGAGGGGGAGGCTCCGGGGGAGGGAGGGGGTTTGTGGGGAGGGAGGAGGGGGCGGGAGGGGGCAGAGCCCGGGAAGTTGGAGCTGGAGGAGCCCCGGAGCCAAGTGAGGGGAGGGGAAGGGGCCGGGGGCGGCGCGGGGGGAGAGGGAGGGAGGGGTGGAGGGAGGGGTGGAGGGAGGGATGGGGAGGAAGGAGGGAGGGAGGAAGGCTTAGAGGGAGAGGAGGGAGGGATGGAGGGAGGCTCGGAGGAGGAGTGGAGGGATGGAGCGCGGCACCGGAGGGAGGGATGGAGGGAGGCCCGGAGGAGGAGTAGAAGGATGGAGGGAGGGAGAGGAGGGCTGGAGGGAGGGATGGAGGAGGAGTGGAGGGATGGAAGGAGGGAGAGGAGGGCTGGAGGAAGGCTCGCAGGAGGAGGAGTGGAGGGATGGAGCGCGGCGCAGGGAGGGATGGAGCGAGGCTCGGAGGAGGAGGAGTGGAGGGATGGAGGGAGGCTCGGAGGGATGGAGGCTCGCAGGGAGGCAGGCGGGGAGGGAGGGCCGAGGCGCAGGGGAGGAGTGCGGGCGGCCGGGGGGGCCCGGCCGGGGGCGGGGGCTCGGTTCCGTTACCGGGCGGGCGGCGGCGGCGGCGGCGCGGGGCGGAGGCAGCGGCGGCGGCGGCGGCAGCGGCAGCAGCAGCAGCAGCGGGCGGCCGGGGGGCGGCCCGGGGGTCCCGGGAACGCCATCACCGCCCTCTCCCCGCCGCCTCCGCCTCCCCCCGGGCCGGCCCCGGCGGCTGGGCTCGGGCAGCAGCACCATGAGCAGCAGCAGCGCCCGCTGCCGCCGCCCCGCCGCCGCCCCACCGGCCCGGGCCATCCCGGCACCGCCGCCGCCGCCGCCGCCGCCTCCCCGGGGAGGCAGGGCCGGAGCCGCCGGGGGAGGCGGGGGCCGCGGCCGGCCAGGCTGACATCATTCCGGGGAGGAGCGGTCCCTCCCCGCGCCGCGCGAGGGGCGCCGGGCACCCCGAGGGGAGACCCCCGGGACAGACCCCCGGGAGAGACCCCCCAGGCCACGGAGAGGCCCCGGGGAAACCCCAAATGGGGACCGGGGGTAGCGGGAAGTGACCCCAATGTGTCCCCCGAGACTCCTCGGGGTGACCCCAAATGGGGACCGGGGGTGGCACAAAGTGACCCCAATGTGTCCCCCGGGGTGACCCCAAACGGGGACCAGGGATGGCACAAAGTGACCCCAATGTATCCCCCGGGGTGACCCCAAATGGGGGCTGGGGGTGGCACAAAGTGACCCCAATGTGTCCCCCGGGGTGACCCCAAACGGGGACCAGCAATGGCACAAAGTGACCCCAAGCCAGCCCCAGGGACACTCTGGAGTGACCCCAAACAGGCCCAGGGACGCTTTGGGATGACCCCAAAGAGGTTCTGGACACAAGCCAAGGGAGATCCCACTGGAGCCACAGGGACACCCAGGAGAGGCCCCAAATGGGTGCCAAGGGTACCCCAAAGTGACCCCAATGTGTCCCTGGGGTGACCCCAAGCTGGTCCCAGGGACACCCTGGGGTGACCCTGAACCGCTCTCAGGGTATCCCAGGGAGACCCCTCTGAATCCCCCAGGGACACCCCGGAGTGACCCCAAATAGATCCCAGGGGTTCCACCTGTCCATGTCCCAGTCCATCCCAGCAGCCCTCTGTCCATCCATCCCTGTTGTCCATCCCTGTGTCCATCCATCCCTGTGTCCATCCATCCCTGTGTCCATCCATCCCTCTGTCCATCCCTGTGTCCATCCATCCCTCTGTCCATCCCTGTGTCCATCCATCCCTGTGTCCATCCATCCCTGTGTCCATCCATCCTTGGTGTCCATCTCAACATCCATCTGCACACATCCCGATCCATCCCAGTGTCCACCTTAGGTGTCCATGCCCTTGTCCACCCCAATGTCCATCCATCCATCCCGGTGTCCATCTGTCCATGTCTCCATCCATTCCAGTGTCCGTCCATCCATCCATGACTCTGCCCATCTCCCGTCCATCTGTAACATCCCCATGTCCATCCCCATGTCCATCCCAGTGTCCATCCCAGTGTCCGTCCATTCCAGTGTCCATCCCAGTGTCCGTCCATCCCTGTGTCCATCCCGGTGTCCATCCATCCATGTCCCTGTCCATCCCACTGTCCACCTGTGCACATCCCCATCCATCCATGTCCCTGTCCATCCCAGTGTCCATCTGATGAAGATGGTGGATGAGATCCCATCATGATCTTGTCCATCCTGGTGCCCATCCAACAACAGCTGTACTGATCTCACCATCCATCATCCATCCATCATCCATCCATCCATCC